GCGCGCGGAAAAATAGTCTTTGCATTTGCTCACGTCAGCAGCGTACACCCATGGGCAAATGGGGGACGCTAAATTGACCAATCAGAGCGCGCGCTTTACTTTGGTTGTGTTATAAATACAAATATACAATTAAGAGCGTCAATCTATTCCAACAATGTATCCCAGATCCTTATGGCGAATAATTTCAAGTTTCAGTGGCATACTCACACAAAATGGCGCTTTGTTCTTGATGGTCGGAGCCCAGAAAAGAGGTTAATGGCTAGTTTCTCACAAATGAGCTAAGTAGTCTATTTTCTATTTCGTAATTACTTCTGTTTTTATTGAGCAATAACTTTCTTTCTGTATGAAAAATATAAATCAGTTCCTGGAGCAGAATAGCCTGGTCGTAGATATCGGAAGCTCTCATTTCGCCCTTCAACTCCCACAGTGAGTAACATTTAACTCGTAACATTTAACTCAGTTAAATGTTACTCACTGTGGTTTTTCCCTATAATATCCGCACAATATCCAGCAAACTAGACATGAGAATATTCAAAATTATTTGATATAAGATGTTATTTTGATCTAACACCAAATTCTCGTTACTCACTGACGAGGAAATTTGTAGCAGCCAGAGGGGAGAATTAACAGTCAGATCTTGGTAGTTTAAGGGTTAACAAGTAGTTCCTTTAATCATGGCGATGGTGTTCTAAGGCATTAGGCGCTGATTCTCTAAAACATTTTTTTCTCTTCAGACTGTTGAGACATTTTTAAAGGTTTTTTTCCTCCAAAAACGTACAAAAACAGATAAACAGAAAATAAGGAACTTTCTCTTTTCCTTCAAAGTAGCCCTTCATATTTTTTGATCAATGATTAGCACTTACCAACACGCTTCAGTAACAAGTCCCAAACGGCCTTCTGCTCGGGCGTAGGAGTGACCGAGGGACTGGTGAAAAGAAAACAAATGTGAGACGTGCAATGGTAAGTTAAATGTCAAGATGTTCTTTTGTTTGTCTAAAATTAAACTTCAAATGTATTTTTAGAACGCCACCAGTTGTCTTTTTTCATCTTTCTTTATCCAGCTTTTGACACGATACATCATGATAAGCTGATTGGTCGTCTTGAGTCTGATTTAGGAATTTCTGACAATGCGCTTGCCTGGTTTAAATCGTATCTATCTGACCGGACCCAGCGTGTTTCTGTAAAAGGTAGTCTCTCAGATCAGTTTCCTTTAAAACAAGGTGTTCCTCAAGGATCATGCTTGGGCCCTGTGCTTTTCACTATCTACACGCGCAAACTGTTTCAGATTGTTGAATGCCATCTTCCACAAGTTCACTGCTACGCGGACGATACACAGTTGTATGTATCATTCAGCCCTAATCGACCCGTGGATGCTGATTTTGCCATCAAGTCCATGACTGACTGTATCAGTGACATAAGGAGTTGGATCATTTGAGATAATCTTACGTTAAACGATAACAAAACAGAATTTTTAATTATAGGTACCAAGCAGCAGCTGGCCAAGGTTAACAACAATTGCATTAGGGTTGGGTCGATTGATGTTTGTCCGGTAACAGTAGCTAGAAACCTAGGCTCATGGTTTGATGAGCGGCTTACCATGTCAACTCATATTAGCAAGTTATGTGGTGCTGCCTTTTATCATTTGCATAATATCAAACGCATTCGCAAGTATTTGTCTCGAGAATCAACAGAAATGCTTGTCCATGCATTTATTACTTCTCGTGTTGATTATTGTAACAGTCTTTTGTATGGGCTGCCCAATTACCAGCTTAACAAATTGCAGAGAGTTTTGAATGCCTCAGCCAGGCTAGTTTGTAATGCATCTAGGTTTTGTCATGTCTCACCCCTTCTTCGCGGTCTGCATTGGCTTCCTGTTAAAGCCCGGATAGAATTTAAGATTCTGCTTATTACGTTCAAAGCAATTCACGGCCTTGCTCCTAAATATCTATGTGATTTACTAACATTTAAATCGTCCTTATATAACCTTAGATCTTCAGATAGTATTTTACTTTCTATGCCAGTTACTCGATCCAAGACGTTAGGTGATCGAGCTTTTATGGTAGCAGCGCCAAGGCTCTGGAACTCTCTTCCAAAAGAACTTCGTGCGATTACTAATGTGAACAGTTTTAAGGCGCATATTAAGACTTANAAGGCCACCAAGCCCACAACTGTAAAAAGGACTATTAGCTGCGAAAGTCTGGGGTTATATCAAGGCAGCAACTTCTACCTGATAACTTTGAGTACTCTCACAACCTGTTTATTGGATAATGTATGGATGATAGAGAGAGAAGTTACATGTTAATCACTTCTGGTAATCTAAGGGCGAGGGGCTGAAGGAGAATAAGGACTGTTTGTAGGGTGAATATAGCATACTCTGTTTCTGCAGTGCGTACCTTGCATGTTTGAAGAGAGGGTGAATGATCGGAGTGTATTTTCTTCTTATTGCCAAGAGTGCTCCGAGGTAGGCACTCAGTGCCAACAGTTCCTGTCTCTGTCTGTAGATAAAGAATCGTCTGAATTACAGGTAGAACCCCGCTAACTCGAACTCTCAAGAAAAACGAAAACTAGTTCGAGTTAGCGGGAGTTTGAGTTATCGGGATTGGTGTTGAATTTCAATTATCCTGTAAATAATTAATACAGAATCATCAATCAAAATTAAAGCCTCTCATATGGGAGCGAGACCACTTTCCGATTGAGCTTAGCAAATGAGCTGTTGAGCGTCAAACAAAACTGATTGTCTCTTCTTCTGTTCCACATCTTATACCAAGTGATTAAAGAGAGGATTTCAGAACAGAAGTGAGTCTCTTGGTTCCACTCATCAATTCTAAATATTTCAATATAACGTGTTTTATGGTAACAGGTTAAGAGTAGAATGTTTAAACAGTCTTTATCTACAGTTTGCCATACTTGGATGCCCTGCTTTGTTGCAGCCGGTCTGTTCTAATAGACGACATCCACCGAAGGACTGTCAGTACGTCATCTAAGACCCAATAAGGTTTACTCATAACATCTGAAAAAAAAAAAATTGGGTGACAAAAAATTTCCTTGTACTTGATGCATCCTCCTCTCTTAGTGGTTACTTTGAACCCAATGAGAGCCAGAATTTCATTGGTTCTATCTCATTGTGTTTTGTGATTGGCTAAGAAAACTCTTACCACGCTTTCAGCCAATCAGATGCAAGACAAAAACCAAATCGTGCATTGGTCAGGCGCCTTTTCCTCTGCTTGAAGCCGGTTATGGTTTTTCAACTACGAGCTCTCACTAGCTCCCTAAAATATTTTCCTTTGTTTTTATCGGTAGTTGTGCGTGTGTGTGCGTGCGTGCGTGCGTGTGTGTCTATGATGCGCACTAGTAATGTTATTATCTCAGACGGTACTGAAATCCTTCACAAGCCAGGTTGAAAATATTTATCATTCCTGTCGTAATTTAATAACTGTAGCACTCACATCACGCCACTACATTTACAATTTTTAAGAGATATAAGAATAATGCGTTCCACGATCATACCTCGCACGAGATTGAGTCCGATGTCGAGCGCTAGCTCAGGAGAAGAGGAAACAAGGTAGTACTTCATGGCGTCCATGAATTTGTTCTCATCACATAACTGCTGAGCTTTTTGTAAACAATCCTCTACGCTTGGCAATCCAGCCTAAGGAACGAAAAAGGACATAGAGGCGAATTTTAAGCCTTTGTCCCCAGGAATAAATGATGCTTAAAACATCCGTGCAATTTTAATTTAATGTCACTGGGACAGATAATGAGAATTAAAGATATCATTATTAGACATACATCTACTACCAAATTCTCAGGATTGGCCAACAAAAAAAAAAAAAAAACGTTTTCATCGGTTGGGACAGCAAGCTATCGTATCTTCATTCATTTTCACGATGTCCAGTCACCTTTTCGTGCAATTCGTTCACTTCTGTAACAGTTCCCTGACACCTGGCACACGTCTTGAAGAGCTGGTTCTCACAAGAAGGCAATGACTTGAGAAGAAGAATACACGTGTCCCTGAAAACATAATAACACCACATGAGATGTGCGATTAAGAATTGTTAAACACAGTGCGAGCTATCACACCAACAGCATAACAACCATTTGAACCAAGAACGGGAAAACAGGTAGCCTGTCCGGAGCGCGGGAAAACGAACGTAAAAGCAGTGACAAATGTAAAGCAAGCACAGGAACATTACGAAGTAGCCGATGGCGAGCGCAGGAAAAATGTAACCACACAGAAAGGCGCTGTTGATCATTGAATGAAAATAGCGCTCTAGAAGTTATTAAATTAAATTAAATAAATTAAGGCGGGAAACTCGTGTCAAAAGCGGCATAACGAGACCAAAGAGCGGGAACACACACACCAAATAAGGGCTGGAGAAACTGTGAAGTAACCGTGGGAAGCGCGGGAAAATGCAAAGTCCGTGGGGAGCGCGGGAAAATGCAAAGTCCGCCTGTCAGCGAAGTCAAAAGCGAGAAAATATGTTTTGAGAAACAATTTACTGATAGTCCATACCATTTCCCAAGTCTTTCACATTTTCTGGCCAGAAGTTCAACAGCTTGATGATACATGTGACTGTTTTCGCTAAGCACCATTCCCATACTGACTGCTAGTTCCAGTTCATTCCCTCGAATGAGCTTCGACAAAGCAAACTGGGTAAAGAAAAACAGGCGATTAGATAATCCAAATCAGAATTTCTGAACGAGTCAGACGCGGTGGCTTGATGTATGATGCATTGTACTTCGGGTTTAGAGCTCGATGGAGGTGGTCGTTGTGGTGGAAGTTCCCTGTTGTAAATTAGCTTTCTAAACAAGGGGAAAAGCAATACCACTTCTTGCTAAGGAGGACCGGGTAACGATTCGCAGCGGTATGTAAGAGTCGGACTTAGGGAGTCAAATAGACAAAGCTAATTTTTTCTTCTCAAGATTCTTTCACTCTTCCCACTCAACAGACTACAACCTTCAAATCAAGAAGTCGATAAAAAATATTACCGAAGATATCAATGATTTGTTGGCAGCGTCTTTCAAGATACAGACTGTATAAAGCGAACAAGTATAACGGGTTTGTGCAGTGCGATTACAGATGTTGGGGGTTTTACCACTCGCTCGGCCCCAACACTCGCTCGGCCGAATTAACGGGAGGTAGCAAGAGTCTTCTCTTTTTGTTATTCTTTTCCAAACGAGTTGACTATCGCTACAGCGACGCGTCCTATCTCTCTCTCTAGCGAGGAGTACTAACGTATTAAATTGGAACACCGTAGACATGTTTGGGTTAGCTGACCGTGAGAGTTTCCATAGTGCATCCGTTATTTTGCAAAGGGGGAAACTGGGTGGCTCACTCCGAAGTACTTGGCGAGCACCAAGGAACCAATTAAACGCCAATGATCAAGCTGCGCATGAGAATCGCACGCACAAACAGGATCTTTCGTGAAGGAAAAACCCAAGGTCAGTTTTACCAACCCAAACATGACCACTTATGAAACTAATTATTCTCAACCATAACAAGCGATTAAAATGTCTGACACGGTAAGAAGGAAATCCGCGAACTGAGCCTAGTTCAAGTTCTCACTAAAGATAAAAGATCAAAACTACAAATCTACCAAAACAACACGTAGACGCAAAAGGCAAGGCTTAACAAAAGGAAAAGTTAAACTGAAAAAGTCCCAAAATAACAACTTCCAATTTTACCTCACAACACAGATACTAACCTCGATATCTCCCACAGCCAAGTGACAACATGCGGCCAGCACAGGTTGTCCACAATAAAAATACCAGTCAGCTAACGCAGTACTTGCTGACTGAAGAAGACTGACCACAACAGAGAAAAACACTAATTATTCATCAAGCTTCAAGGAGCCATAGATATCATTACAACTTCTTTCTCTCAGTCTATTCTCGTTTTCCCTTTTTTTTTTTTTTCATTCTCTCCTTGCGTGTTCTTACTTGCCATCCGCATCTCCTTTTCTCCCCCTGGTTTCCTCCGCATAGCATTCCCCTCAATTTTTTTTATAGCTTTCTCCTACCAACTTCCCGACCCTTCCTTCTTCCCTACCTTTCCACCCATCCGTTTTATCCATTTCTCACTTTCCTTTTTTCCCTCTTTTCATTTCCACTTTCGTAAGTCTTCTCCACTTCTCATTCTTCCCAGCTTTTCGCCTCTTTCCCAAAATTTCCCATCCACCTCAATCCAACCCGAGCGACCGGATAAATCCCTCACTAGTTACCACACGCAAGCAGATGCTCACCCTTTGTTCTCGTCAGTCATGTGATTGATCAGAGAAGGTAAGACGTCGTTTTTTCTCAGATCAGGAATCTTGTTTTCCTTTTTCTGCGGTAGAGTTAGTCCTCCCTCGCACGCCACTTGCGCCGCTAATAAGGCGTCGTGAAGCTGACCGCGTGACGAAAAGAAAGACACGAGCTACAAAGAAACCCCAAGAAAACAAAAACAGTTATCGCATGCAATACACAAGCCTAAGGAAAATATAACCTCTATTCCTGCTTTTATCGACTCTAACCCAGAATTCCTTTGGTTTTACTTCACTTCGCTTTCAGATTGGTCTAGGAAACTCAAACCATAAGCTCAACCAATCAGAGTCCAAACTAAAACCAATCACGACTTAGCCAATAGCGTTTCTGCGTTTTAATCAGTTTGCTTATTTTATCTTACATTCTCACTGGCTCTCTGTGACGATCTCCTTTCCTCTGATTGGCTGTTATGACAATCTCAGTTTAGGTTTTACGACACACGATCGAAATAAACTCTACATTAGAAAAATACTGGGATTGTGCAAGTACAAGGGTTTTTTTTCGGTTTTTTGTAGGTTCACCGATAAACCTCAGCCTCATGAAGTTCTCCTGCCTCGCCTTCGCACATTTGGAGGCCATGGGTTGAAATCCCGTGAAAGCAGCGTACTTTAAAAGAAGAACAGGCTAACTATCATACAATACCTTCGCCGCGTCTCCTAACGAAACACAGTATGGGACAGCGGAGTCGTCATCTTCCCTCATAAGTTGCGAAGTTCGTCTGTAACAAAAGTTAAATAACCACATCAAACAGAAACAACAACGTTATGGAAAATAGGTTCATAAAGATCATGATGATGATGATGAAGAAGATGCAAACAACACTCATTTTGAAACACTGATTTAGGTTTCCGGCTGCGTTAAAAAATTTTAGAACAAGGAATTGAAGAATAGTTTTTAAAGCACCTTTCCATTAGTTCTCTCCAATAATCCATTGAGATTCCAGGAGCCATAGCAAGTGCTCTGTCCCACTTAAACAACATAAACAAATAGGAATTACATTTAGTCTAATCCTTCAATTTTACAACAGGAGACGAAAACTCTCTGCACATTTGAAGAAAGTACAAGAAATTCTTAAATATTTGAAATTCGGAAAGGAGTTGTAGTTTCAAATTACGCGCGAAAAGTAATTAGCAATTGCATTGGAATAGAGCAAATATCCACGGAATGTTGGAAGTGATCGAAAACTACTTCGCTAAACCATGTGAGAGCTTAAGAAAATTCGCACCAATCTATATTCAAATCATGTGAAGAGCAATGGCGTCCTTGACATTGACGCTTTTTCGCGCTTCAGTCAATTACTAATCTTTTCTTCGATGCGATAAATTGTATTTGATTTCAAGACACCAAATAGAAATGCGGTTTGCCTGTTGATGGTTATTTCAAACATTTTATGCCGCCTAAACGATATGGAAAGCGCAGTTAAATTTTTTTCCTCTCGGGTTCTCCCCAGCTCGCTACGTTATGTAAGCCTCATTAGTTGAAGATTGTTGTTCCGTCTTATTAGCTCTAAAACTCTCAACTTAAAAACGACCCGGATTCGACCTGAAGATCAGGCGTGTTTTTGGTGCTTTTCTAGCGAGTGAAGGGAAGAGCGAGGCGTTACGGATGAAAGCGCCAAGGGTGTATTTTCCTCACTTCTTCTTTCAGATAAAAACGACGCATCTTTAACAGGCCATGTAGTTTTGGTGATGACATACCTCGCCCAGTTCGACCATCAGCTCACAGTATCTCTGTAGCTGACCAATCTTGACATGGAGATTTGCCGCTTCTCTGATCCTGTCCTCTTTTTTTGACATCAGACCTCCTCTCCTGGACATTGCTCGAACGGTTTCTAACTCTTGTGCCTCAGACTATGACAAAAAAAGCAGAGGAAGTCAAACTACAAAACCCTCTTAGCAAATTGCAAGAGATTCATTTTCATATCACTCAGAAGAACAACGCGGACATTATTCCCTAACGTCGGGCTGTACATCAGTTGCTAAATACTTCATCCAAATTAGCTCTAAACGGAGAGGGCAGCCGTACCCATGACACTCTGCTATGTTTTTGGGCCAGACACTTTTAAATTAGTCTCACAGTGCTTTTACCACCCAGGAACATAAAACAACACAGATCCAGGACACTAAAAGAAAGAAAGAGCCTGAAAACGAGGTCGTCAAAGGTCAAAGGAACCTGGGAAGAAACGACGTCAAGGTGAAGGTTCCAGGAATGCTAAGAAGTTACCAACTTAGTATCTTAAGTTCATCGTAATCCTCGGAAGATAACTTACTGCTTTGTGTCTGACAAGATGTTTTGTGTGCAAAATCCCTTTGCTGTAAGTTGCTGGTAATAAATTGTCGTCGCCGTCTCGTAACACAAACACCAAGTCCCACAAATTCTTAGCTCCGCAAGGAGGCTGAAAAAGATGAAAAATGAACAAACACTTTCTATAGAGTCATTTTCACTGGGAGAAAACACAAACATATGATGCAATCATCGACTAATTAGAGCATGCGCTCCCTACCATGACCACAACTATTTCTTCACCGAACTCAAAATTTACCATCTTTCTCATTCTATTTACCACACTAAAGCTTCTGAAAGTCTATGCGAATTATTATCTTACAGTGAAAAAGTCCGAGAACAGTTTTACTGCTGACAAATGAGATGCTTCTCCTTTGGTTGCCACATTTGCTTTTAATTCTCGTGAAACTCTTCCATTTAACAGAGGTGTGCCGCCAGATGACATGGCTGCTTCTGTGGAAAGGGGAATGTTATAATTAAATGTAAAGAAGAAACCTAACTTGATAGAAAAGGAAACAAAACGTTAAATTGAAGGTTAAACGTTAAAATAAAGTGGAAAATAAAAATGTGGAGCTGCCATGCTCGCTCTAGAGCAGTATCACCTTATTTATGGCTATTTCTAACGCAACAATTCCTTGCCCTCTTAAAGGTAATCACATCCATCTGTTAAATTCACCTTTCCCATGATTTCTTCTTACTTTGTGGTCAAAATTATTCTACATTTCCTTATAGCAAGAAAGGTATTGCACTAAATTTAAAGAAGAAAAACAATAGCAGATCTATCCCTGGATTTCTAGGAATGATGATGTATCTCGCTTGTGAGCTCAAGCTAAACAGAAAAAAGCAAATGTTTTGTTGATGCGCGCCCGTTAATCACTCATTAATTACACTTGATGTAATTAGAGAGTAGTCCTCGAGTAACGAGGGTGTAACAAGTCTATATCGCAAATATTGATTTGTCAGTTTTGTTTTGTCAAGACGTTATGAGCCGTCACTGTTTTTGTTGACCAGATCTCTCACCCTCGTGACACCCAACACACACATACCTGTGTTAGTGGTTATAAGGTCATCAAGGGGTCTTTCAGCTAGAACATCGATCTGCAAGGAACACGCCAAATGCGATATGCACCAGATTCTGACGGTGGAATCGCGAGAACACGATGCGACTGTAAATGGTCTATTTCTGTGGCAAGTCAAACCTGTAACATAAAAACAATACATGTGTTGTGACTATAAATATAACAGTTTCCAATTGAACATCGAAAGTATGTCCGGCATTACTTCGCACAGTGATTGGTCCAGTAAATTCCCGCCACTGTCTCAACCAATCAGATGCAAAACTTACACCAGTTACGACTTGGTTGCCCGCGTTTTCCCGCACTTTGGTTGTTTTTACTTTGATTTTTCATTGGCTCTTAAGGTTTTTTTTTTCCTTCTGATTAGTGGTTGTGATTAGTTTGGTTTGGATTTTACGCTCTATCCAACCTATGTCAGTTTCGAAGATCATCTTGACTACAGGTTCATAATAGTTTATATCATAGGGAGCTTAGTGTTTGTCATGCTTTTGTTTTCAAGTTGCAGTCTTCATTGATACTTTGGTTGTTTCTACTTTGATTTTTCATTGGCTCTTAAATTTTTTTTTTTTCTACTGATTAATGGTTGTGATTACTTTGGTTTGGATTTTATCCTTTGTCTCTCTTCTTCCTTTTCTTCTGCGATTGGTTTCGAATGTCAGTTTCGAAGATCATCTTGACTACAGTTTCGAAGATCATCTTGACTACAGTTTCGAAGATCATCTTGACAACAGTTTCGTAATAGTTTATATCAGAGGGAGCTTGGTGTTTGTCATGCTTTTTTTCAAGTTGCACTTAAGCAATTAACTTCATATAAGTTAACTCCGTGGACATCACCATTCAGGAAGACTAAATTCCAGAACGACTAAATTCCAGAACCTTGAATACCCACGATCAACTAGTAAAACCAATCGCAGAAGAAAAGGAAGGTGAGACAAAGTATAAAAATTTTTCAATAACTTGAATTTGAGTCTAATTTTGGGTAAAAAATAAAACTGAATTTGTTGTCCATACCATACACATCCGCTCCGTGATCCAACACAGTTTCTAGACAGGTTCCATCTCTGATAATGATAAAAGCAAGTCGACTGATTACTATGAAAAATGTTCCCAACACGTTTAGCTTTCTCTGCGCTGCGTAAAAAATGTGAGGTGTGAAACGTTCTCAGAAAAACACAAGAGAAATTTTCAATTGAATGTCAAAGTAATCAGATGTAAAACCAAACTCAATCGCGTCTTGGTTAAGCACGTTTTCCCGAGCTTCAGGCAGTTGACTTGGTTTACTTGAGTTCTCATTGGCTGCCTGGGATATGCGCTTAATTCAGATTGGTCGTACTGATAACTTCAGTTTAAGTTCTACGAAATGCGCAGTAGTCTCCAAGGAAAATATCCAATAACCAAATGAGCGCTACTCTCATTCAAACATTTCACAACATCAAAGTAACTGACTAGTACTTTGTGGTAAAGATGATTAATTGCGAGTAAATGTCACCTCGTATCCCAAATCTTAATGGCATAGTCCCAGCTGCCTGAAATTAGAAGGTAAGGAATTTCTGGGTTCCACAGCAGGCCACGCACAGGTGCCTTGTGCCCTTCTAACGTATGCACGCATGAATCCTAAAGAGAAATGAACAGTGTATGTATATATATATATGAAATATGCTCCAGGTATGGACATACTGAAAGGTTACACAGAAATACCACTTCACAAAATTAAATGTTTAAATTGCCAGCTTCAGAAACTCTTTACTGTAGCCAATTTTTATTGTCAATTCAGTTGATAGAACCAAACTAGCTTGTAATTGCCCCCCTTACCTCAGTATAGTCCCACACTTTAATGGTTCTAACAAAACAACAAAAAGAAAAAGATGTATTTTTAAAACAATAATAATTGGACACTGTTGAGAAAAATATGATGATTTGTCAATGGTGAGTAGATTCAATATTCTAGAAAAGCCAGAAACTGGGACAAGTTACTGATCTTTCAGACACTGACTTGTAATAATATCTTATGACAGCTTACGTAGTTCAATAACTACATGTCAACATTCCATAACTGAGTTTGCTTTACAGCACTATCTGTTGGAATCATCCTGTGTCATCTTATGAAAGCAATCTGAATTTTCCATGCAAGAACAAACATGGGTAAAACTAAGCATGAACAGAATAGTATTTTATTGGCAGGGAATAAAAAATGATGATATATCACACATGTGCAGACCAATTCTTGTAGGTGGTTATTTGTAGTTTATGAGGTGGGCTCTGGGCTCATGAAGAGGAAAGAGAAAAATTGATTTGGATAATATCAAGTGTTAGAAGTTTTTATACACGTATATTGGGCTGAATTGAGAGTGCATTTTGATTAATTTTTAATTGTGATCGAATGAACGACAGATGAACAAATGTGACCATGGACACTTTTTTTCTTCTTTATTGTATAAAACAAATCCAATCAATGTTACTGTGGGTTTGTTCATTAACAGATCACAGAAGACGTCAAAATGCAGCAAGAACATCTGGACATTCTCAGCTGCATCTCATGTACCACTTTTTAGTTCTTACCACATCTTGACATCATCTGTAATCAATTACTGACCAGATGCACAGCAACATGGAATCTATTCATTGAGATGACAGAGTATTGAGAGAAACTCAACTCATCTCACTGAGTATTGACACCAATTTTTTTCATTTACAACATCTTCTAACTATCCTTTGCTTCCTTACCCATCATCTGAACCACTGCAGAGGATTGCCTCTCTGATAGGACTCCATTTCACATGAAAAATCTTTGCTGCATGACCTGTAATGAAATAATTCACAAGTCTATCAAGGTGATGCAACTTGAGAGGTAAAATAAATGGTCACTGCAGCCTAGGCAACAGAGCAAAGGCACAAGTTGAAATAGATAAACTTTTAATTGCTTTAAGACTTTAGACCCCCTCCACCCTGTCTTTGTGGAGCTTCAATTTGCAAAAAGAAAACTGGAAAGGATTACAATAGAGGCCATTGTCACTGTTACAAACAAACCAATACGTTTGTTTGTAACATCATACGTATGATGCACGATCCTCGCAGTAGAGAGCGCTATTTATGCAATAGCGAAAATCAGACTTGAAAAAAATCAGGCCTGTACGAGATTCAAATCACTGACCTCTGCAATACTAGTGCAGTGCTCTAGTGCGATACTAGTGCACCGCAGTTCAAAATATATGAACTTCATATATACATTGTATCCAAAGAAATCATAATAAAACAAAACAAAATATAAACAAAAAAGTTTATTAAGTTACTATGTAGATTAATATCAGGGATCACTGGAGCTATAGGATGTATTCCTCTATGAATTTTGTGAGGAAATACACAAAAAAGTTTTTAACTGTATTATTTGTTATTATATGGCTGTGTCTCACAAGGACTGGGAACTACCGAATTCACAAATTTGATTGGTTGAAATAAATATTGAAAGTGGTCTAGATTTTCCCATCTAGACCAGCATCTAGACTGGTCTAGAAAAAAAAAGGTACAAAGAGTATAAAAAATTGGCATATAAGACACAGCCATATATAATAAACATCTTATTAACCGAGCTAAGTCGGTCTGTATGAGAGAATCTTGACCAAGGTCAAGATTCTCTCATACAGACCCTCCTGCTCGGTTAATAACAACTAAATATTTTGGTTCAATTCTACGTACATATTATCTTTAGATTCAGTACTAAATCTCTAGTTTATATCTATCAAAATTGTTGCTTACCAGAAAATACTTTTAAAGGCAGATCTGTGCTGGCAGCAACATAAAACACCCTCACGCATTTGTCCTCACAACCAGTAGCAATCATATCTCTACAACAACACAAATCACAAAAAACAAATATTTTGGTCCAGAGTCAATTCAAGATCTAAAGGATAAAACATTTCAAAATAATATCATGGTAGGTGGCTCAATTAAAGAAGACACTTGCACTTGCTGCTCCTAAAACAGGTTAATCTGTGACAAATATTAATCTTATCAATTTTAAACTCATCACCAATAGATGAGCTTGGGAACTGAGGATGGGCGCCTGAACGCTTCAGGCATAACAAGAAGGTATCCATGGCAACCCTGCAAGTGGGAGCCACAAATAAGCCAGAATTCGCAAAGATTCGCTATAGGTGATAGCTCCGCAAAGATCAGCTCAACATGCCAGCATGAGATGCAACGTAATTTGCACGATAAGCAATTTAGGCCCCTGCGGTCACCCCGCAGATCATGTACACTTAGGGAGGAGACTGCTGACTGCATTGGCTCGAAATTTAATCTTGCCTTAATTACATTTAGCCACATTAATAACAGCTTTTTTTTCCTTTTTCTTTTATAATACCTGTTATTGAGACTCCAATCACAGCCATAGACAGGACCAGGGTGTTTGTATCTTTTTTTTTTTTTTTTTTTCCTTTTTCTTTTATAATACCTGTTATTGAGACTCCAATCACAGCCATAGACAGGACCAGGGTGTTTGTATCTTTTTTTTTTTTTTTTTTCCTTTTTCTTTTATAATACCTGTTATTGAGACTCCAATCACAGCCATAGACAGGACCAGGGTGTTTGTATCTTTTGACTAAAGTTCCATCCACTTGCCTTACAACACTGAAAATGAAGAATAACAAATTTTATTTGCATCAATGTGGTTATTTATGTAAATGTGGGCTGGTTATACTTTCAGATAAAATTTGCATAATCCCAGCTACCAGTTACATCTCAGAAGATTATATTCTTTCTTATATATGAGATACTAACCATGTTCCATCTGCACTGCAGGAAGCAATTCTCCTTGAATCTTTGTGATTCCAGCTCACATTGTAAACATGTTGCTTTCCATGCTATGAAGAAAAGGAAACAAAATTCAACAAATAGATTCCATGACGCCATGCATCTGTTCAAAATTAGATCACAAATGGCATCAAAATTTGTAAGAACAAAAAAAAAGGCACTGACATTCTTACCACATTTTGATGTCTTCTATGATTTATTACTGAACAGACCCAAGGCAACATAATATATTGTTTTATATGAGAGAAGGCAAGATGTTGGTAATGGTGATGTCAGCTATACATCTGTCTACCAATTGGTCATAATAAAGAATCAATCAAATTGTATTGTATACTTCAGCTTATTATACAAACCTTCCACTCCCAAAATCTCAATTTAGTACTTCTCCTTATTGTTTGCAGCACAATTATTATGATGTTGGTTAAGAGACTTTGGCAAAGGATCAAATAGTGATCCTCTAATTAAAATTTTTCTTCAGTCTCATCACATGTGCGCTTGACACTGTATTGATATTGTGAGAAGAAATTCTGTCTTGGTCACCCATGGGAGTGAAAGAAAAAATTACATGAACTAACATAGAGTAAATAAATAAATAAATAAATTCGTCTTAATTAAAAAACCATCCGATAAAATTACATATCTGATGTTACAGTAAAAATATATATTGATGGGAAAATTTACAATGATTAAATCGAATAAAAATGATTTGAAATACATATGGGGTGTTTACAGAGCTAGACTATATTTAAAAATTAATCTATTAAAAAAGCTATGTTTAAAACGTTCAGTGTTAATGCTGGGCCTGACAATGGATTTCCTTCGAATGTAATTCGAGTCAACTGTCAAAAGGGGCTAACTGTATCCTTCTTGATTCCAAGCTTCCATGCACGTTATAATTACCGATCAAAATCGTCCAATTCACTTACTTCAGTAAATCTCTTGATAATCTTTTCTTTGCTTATATCCCATATGAAGACTCCATGCTTAGCTGTTGCTCCACACAGACAATTGACATCTCCTGTAAATGTTAAATTAAAGAATTTCAGATTTAATTTTGTATGTGGAAAATCACACATCCAGTAAAAACAATTTTTTACAGAAGGTGAGTATGAGGGAGGGAGGGAGGGGGGGGGATTGTCAATATCATGTCCAGATTCAAGATCAGCAATAAGACACAGTAAAACTGAAAAAATTACCAGGTGACCAAGAAAGTGCATAGATGATTCCTTCATTGCCTGGAGATGAATGCACCTATCACATAAAGTTAAAGTGGATTTAGGCACAAGAAATTCAGTACTAAATTATAATTCCACAATTTTGAGTCAAACTTAGAAAAGCACAAAAATGGAGAAAATTACTTGCTGAATGTGGTACTTACTGCAGTCATAGTGTTAACATCCCAGACTTTGATGGTTCCATCAAAGGAAGCTGTTGCCAACAAATCTGGATTTTCAGGCTTAAACTTGCAATCAAATATTGTCTCTATATGTCCCTAAAAAAAAATTGGAAACCAAAAGGTTCTAGTATTACACAGAATACACTTACTTATGACTAAGAACAGAAACGACAAAATTCAGTAAAATAGCACCAGTTGACAAAATATTGCAAGGGTGTTCAACATGTGAGGAATGATTCAACAATATCACTTGAAAAAGTTCATGTACAAAGTAAGTAAAAAAGGATGAGTCTACACTCGCACTAAGAGGCCCATCTAGCAGAAGCTTTTGCCAGTTTCCTTAGCATGGGGCAATTACAGCACATGTATCACTACTTCACCTAAGATGGGATGCTAGTTCTTCACAAGGTTAACCCCCCACTAAATTTCATCAGCTTTCCCTGACAATTCACCAGTAACCATTTATACTCCAGGGCCCAGGTGTATAAAGGGAGGTTAACACTATTCAGTCGATAAATCTCTATCTAGCAGATGAGTGATAGCAAAATGTACTTCTCTATTCACTAGATAGAGATTTTTCCAGTGGATAGCATTATCCTGACCTCAAACAACTGGAGCCAGGGTGGAGAGTTACACAGTGAGAGTAAAGTTTTTTGCCCACAAACACAACACACTGACCCCACCACGCCTCAAACCCTGACCTCTATCTAGACCCAGAATGCAGCCCACTGACCATTACACCACAGGATCTCTCAACTGTTCACTTAAAAAAAAGAAAATTTAAATCCAAGAAGAAAGGAGGGACCACAGCAAACCAAGTCCCACTTCCATCGACACAATTTACTTACCATGTCTCTAAGAAAGCTCCACTTCCGTTTTGCTAAGTCATACAATCCAACTCCGCCATCCATAAAGGCACAAAGAATTCTTGCAGGTGGAAGTGCATAAGTGATGTGATTTGGCTGGGATGGAGGCTGAACTGCTACTGAGGTTGACGACATTCCTGAGGATGTTTGATTATTATTAATTGATAATAAGTTCTGGTCAGGTTGAACAACAGTCAGTGCATGAAAGCTGGTCATTTTTAATTTAATGCTGGTCAATGGAGAGCTTTTGGACACATTCCAAACACGAAGAATACCTCCTTGGGCATCTGAAAAGTAACATCAAAGTTCAAGTAAGATAAACATGTCATTCATTATTATAATTACAATTTTATCAATTTCTGTTGATCGAAAAGTAATTACATTAAAGTAACAAAATCTCTAGAGCATAACCCAATGTTAAAAAAGAAACCCAATACCGTTCTTAAATACAAATTTCAAACTTAAATTAATTTAGAGGTATTCTTAAAATGCTTAATTTAAGATAACACCTATGCTTGCCAGCTACTCAAAGCTAAAAACAATTAATTTTATGATGGGAACAACTGCAAAACATAATTCGGTATTTTTATTAATTAATATATAAATTAAAAAGAGTTCAGAGGTCAGTGGGTTGAAACCATTCATATATTAGTTAAACTCTTTTGAAGAGGCTTTCATATCTTGAGCAAAACTTTACCTCCCGTCACAAACACTCCAGGAGCAGAGGAAACCCAAGAGAGTGTGTGAATCTTTGTTGCAGAGCTTGGTAACTTGAAATTCATGATGACAGTCATTGAGTCAGTGTCAATCAACCTCAGGCTGCCGTGTGAGTTGGCGACCAACAGGTAATCCACTGATAATGGGTCCCATTCCAGACTGATCACAGGATCTTCTTCATCATAATCTTCAAAGGGTTCTGGTCTTAAGTAATGTTTAAATGCTTTCTGTCCAGGATTTACGACAGATATACTACCATCGTTATGGCCAAAGACAAGTTTTCCAACTTTTCTTTGATTCCAGCGAAACTGACACACTTCTGAGAAAAATGTCATAGATTCTAGATGTTTGAAGATCATAGTATAGTCACGGGTTGCATAGTTCCAAATACACAAAGGCCCACGCCCTGAAATATATGCAATAGAATCCCGATCTTGAGGACACCAACCTATACAGGAAGGAGTGGATTTGATACTCTCTAAGGTACCAATCACTCTTTCCTGTGACACACTCCATATGTAAATTTTACAATCACTACTTGATGTTGCGAGCAGATCAGGGTTTTGAGGATGCCAGGTGATGCATGTGATTGTCTTCCTGTGCTGAGCCAAGATCACAGACAAGCGGAATTCTTTAAACTGTGGATCCAACTGAAATAACAATACATACACACATCAGATATCAGGAATTAAACTGTTCCACTCCTAGGGCTACCATTGTCATTTCTCTTCCTTTATTACAAGTCTGAGACTAATCAAATCTATAACAAAATTCTCAAACGTGATTGGTCATTACCAGCCAGACTTTGGCTCTAATAGGACAGTGTATCCATAATGCTTGTAACTTGGCAGCGTATTATAGGACAGTGAAAGGAACAGTTAACATGTTATGCCTGTGTGAGTGGACAAAAGACATCTTATGTGCATGCTGTTAATGTGCATTTTGGTGAGTCAACTGTTGTTGTTGTTTTTTTTTTTAATGTATAACTTATGTCTAGTTTCTCTATCAAATATTTTCATAGTTTTGATCAACTGGTTAAAGGACTTTGTGTCGTCCAATTCTGTCAGTAATCATACTCATGATAAACAAATCTGACTTACTATGTAGTCATCTGATTTTGTTAATAACTTGTATTATTACACGACAAGGGCAGTCAGAGGGCCAATAACTAAAATCAACCAATCAAAATGCTCTATTGCTGGTCAATATCCTCTCATTATTGGACTGTCCCGAATTGTCCTGAATGATACCGCACTTGTGTCCCTTTGAACTTCAGTCGTATAATAAATCTCTTATTAACCAAGCTTGCTCGGGACTGTACTGGAAGAATATCGGCCCTCGGTCTTTTTTGTACATACCTCACTGCACTCAGTCCGTACTGTCAAGACCTCAGGCCGATATCCTCCCAGTATGGCTCTCGCTCTTGGTTAATAAGGTATATTGATTACTGGTACCAACAGAATTGGACTTGACTTGGTCCTGTTACCATTACATAATCTTACAATCTAGCTCTGAGATCTCTAGTGAACCCTATTAATCCTTGAGTGTGATACGCATCTAATATCTCCTTAAAAATACACCCCTGAATCAAACATGAAAGTTACAAGAATAAAGGAAATGATCACCAGCTGAAGAAGCTCTTAACTGTGAAAAAAGTTTTCCTTATCAGTACCTTAGGAAATGTAGAAGTAACACTATAATAGAGAATTTTCAAACTGATGTTAACGTTAATTAACCTATTGATGTCCAGTGCGCCTGTATGCGCCCATGTGGACCCACACCCTTTCTACGCTTTGTGACGTCATCACTTTTAACCCTGGAGCACGACTTTGAGCACGTACTTGAACAGGTTGAAAATATCTTACAAATGATACCAGAATGAGTGCAATTGAGGGAAGGAGATTGGAGAAACAGCCAAAAAACCATGTAACTTTGACCTGAAAATCTGCACGAAAATCTTGTTCCATTACCCACCTACCTTTCTGAGCATGTGGTTTGAAAAATTAATAATGAGTAGTTTCTGAAAAATCTCTACACCAAAATGAAGCCTACTAAATTTCCAGCAAGTGAGGAGAAACTTCAGGCAAGGAGAGGGGGAAAAAAGGGCAGGAGAAAGAGAGAAAAGTAAAAGTCTTAAGTGGGGCATAACTTTTCAACCCAAAAACTATCTCGAAATTTTACTTTCTGCGTGTGCCCAAGATTTTCAGGCTGCCATTTTGCATTTGGATCGAAAGGCCGTTGAGTGTACGAGTTGTCAATGGGTTTTTGGTAAGTCTGAGCTTTTAAAACCACAACAGTGACCCAAAATCTGCTCGACTAGCTTCAAAACACAGTTTTTCACAAAAGCTGCGGCCATTAATGGGTTAAAGAGTAAAGGGGTTAATTCAAGCAATTTCCCAAAGTTGATGTTTTTCTACCTTCTTGTCACCCTTTGCTGCTCAAATGTAAAGACAAATCCCCTAGCATTTACTAAGAAATTAGTTATTGATCTTCCCTGGCAGCTAAAGGTTAAAAGGAAAAATAAGAAACACATGCAAGGCAAGATGAAAGTGAAATTCTACAGTACTGCATTCTGCAAGCATTGTTTTATTGTTTCAGAGTTTAAATTGAAACATGTTGCAACCCTTTCATTTACCATTAAATGAATTAAACTAAGGGTCTCCAGGACTTTTATGCTTGACATTGTAAAATTATGCAAAAAATTAGACTCTAAATGGTGCAAATTCGATTATTCTTGTAACATGATTTTCACATGATCAGAGAGCAGTGAGATCAAGCTACAAAAGTCAAATAAAGTCAAGTTGCAACATCTTACTATGAATCCAGACAGTCGTGACAAGTTTTATTCTCTGTGCCTCAGACAAATATGACGCACAAAAAAAAAAATAGCACGTTGTGACATAACATTTCCGCTACAACAAACATTGCTCACATAATATTCTTTCAACTGTATCCTAAGACCCCAGATTTTAGCCTTTGTAATTAGGTGAAAGTTTTAGACTAGTGCAGTGGGAACAGTTAACACGACTTGATGGTACAGTTAAACATTTCTTGTTATCATAAGGAATTTTGGTGTTTATCGAAACATCAAGGCAACACAGCCAAAACCTTCGAAAAATCGAAATTACGCCATCCAGTGTCAAGGTCATCTGTGTTTAATTTTAATATCGACAGACACGAGTTTGGAATCAAATCAGTGATACATTTATTAAAAAGATACACGATCTGTCACGTTCGCTGTTGAGAAAATTTAAGCAGCGGAAACTTAGATCGACAAATCAAAAGGTCACTTCTGCTGAAGTTTGTAAACGAGATAATTTGCGGATACTCTATTGAGATTTTGTTTTCCAAATTTCAAACTCGAGGAAACACACCAAGAGAATGGAGAGTTTAAAAGAACATCAACACTGGATGAGTGTTGGAAATATTTTCGTATAACCCCATACCAATCAAAAACAAAGCCGAAGTCCCATAGGTAATCTGTTGTTTTGCCCCTGTTTTCTTTTATCCAAGAATTGTACGCATAATGAAGTATGGGGTTATACGGAAATCTTGCCTGAGTGTTTGCAGACCAGATAAGCAATTCTGAGCAACCACTCGACTTTCTCAAAAGGAATTGCACAACTGCCTATTAGGCGAGAGTCACGTTTAATTAAAGTAAATATTAGGGAAAAAAGTTGGTAAAAATTCCAATTCCTTCGATAAAGCCGGGCAAGTCAAATTTAAAGAGATACTCGATAAATTTTACTCATTGTAAATGTTATAGATTAACAGAAGATAGAATCGGGAGAAAATGAGGTGTCTAAAGGACAGTAATTGTTTCATATCGTCAGGGGTAGTTTATTCCTATAGCGACACTACGCCTCACCTCGTAAACGTAAACAGCGAGGGTCGCACAATAGGCAAATCGATCTCCACTGCTGCTTGCAGCGCAAACATCAAGGTTCCAAGGTTGACAGCCTGCCGGGAGAAGGCTAACCTGTCTCATTAGACTCATGATCCTGTTGAAAACAGGACAAACTTAGCCCATTTTGAGTTGATGCTCTCTTCGTCGATCTTCCGCCATCTTCCAAATTAGATCTTGCCCAGGCGCTTCTGGTCACGCGCGGCCAAGCAGTCAGCAAACTTTCACAACGATTGAAGCTTCTAAAGAAGTAAAGATCAGGCTGTCACGGCTACTGTAGTTATTTTCAAACACGCTAACCTTACAGAGGTGAAAAAATTTTGACAGGAAGATACACTAAACTATGATAATTAACGTACACATCTTGATTCAGCAGCTAATGATATCGGCTCGGTACAACCACGATTGTTATGTAGATGGCGGTATGACAACAATAAAGACAACTTCAAGAAATATAAGAGCTTTCAACAAAAGAAAGGCAAAAAAAAAAAAAAAAAAACTGCCTTCTAAGTTAATGGAGGTGCACTGTTCTCACCGACAGAAAAAAAGTTTGGGAAATTCTAAGTTCTC